GAATTTGTCACTATGTGCTGGGAATAGCTCCCTCCCCAGCTGCCTGCAATCTCAGCCGCAGCCCTGAGAGCCAACAGCCAAAGGGAGAAAAAAGCAGATTAGATGAGGGGAGGCTATTTCCCAAGCCCACCTGAGTACTCAAAATCTTGAGAGCCCATTCCCAGGCACTGGACATAGCCTCAGGGAGAGGACTGAGTCCCCTAGGCCTCAGGGCAGAGAGCCATCTCATTTAGCTTCCCAAGCACACACAGCCTACCTCCCCCACCCCCATACCCCCACTCCCACATGGGGCCCTGGCTGAGGCTGCCACTTAGATTTCTGCAACTACGCACTCCCAGATGATGGGAAAGCCCTGGACCTTGGGAACAGCTCCAGAAAAGAGAAGTGACCTGGCAATGTTCTAAGTAATGGAGAGAGAGCAGGCCCAGAGACCTCAGCCCAAGCCCACTCACAATAGCCCTTCCCCTTTGGAGACTGCTATTCATTACTGGCCTTGCCACCCTGGGGTGACAAGAGGCTGCCCCTTCTAAACCTTAGAAGGATTAGTCTGGTGCGGATCAATAGCAGAATGAGTCCCAGGAAGCCACATGTGGAATTTGTACTTAATTCTCTACACTCTCGTCCAAGAACCAATTACACAGAAAAGCTCCCAGGCATGCAGACCACTTTCTCACACACCCACAGCCTCACCCAAGATGTGTCCCAGACATTCTTGTAGAACCTTACTCCATACCCTTGTCAACGTGAACCCACCCCCACAACATACACTGGGGTACACATGCATGTGGGATCACATTTGCCACCAGAGGCACAGGAAGGTACTCACACCCACACGTTCTTTCACACGCATCTTCTTCCATGAAGACCAATCTTAGTCTCAACACTTCTACCACTGCAGTTAATAGAACCAGCAGTGAAAACCCCGGACAGAAAGCAAAGCCAGAGCATCATTTTTCAACCCTTCCTTGTGGGCAAAAGACCTACAGCTTTGATTAAAAAAAAAAAATCATGGATCCTCTGGAGTCATCATCCCCTGGTGGAGATGAGTAGGTTAGGCTCTTCCAGCCCAGTGCAGCCCACCACCTCACCTACCCCCTTTTTCTTTCTCTCTGGAAAAAACAGAAATCATTTGTAATCTCTTCACTACCAATCATTTCCAGGGCCAGAACTCCCAAGCAAGTGCAGGTTCAGATATGTGGGTGGGTACTATAGGTGATGTGAATATTAAAAGCTGACATTTACATAGCATCTTAAGGCTTGCAAAGCATTTTATAAATGTCATTTTTTCTCATTTGGTCCACAGAAAAAACCCTGAGGTAGGTGCTATTATATTATCTCCATTTTTCAGATAAAGACACTGACGCTGAAATTAAATGACTCCCCCAGGGTCATATAGCCTGAGGTAGGATTCAAATTCAGGTTTTCCTGACTCCACTAAGGCTTACTGCCACCCTAAGGTTTGGGTAGAAGGTGGAGCAGTGGGATGAGGGTTAGTGATAGGGATAGTTAATTTAGAGCTGGGAGAGACCTTATAAATCAACTAGTTTAAGCCCCTAATTTTACAGATCAGGAATCTGAAGACCAGAGTTCAAGTAACTTGCCCAAGATGACCCAGCTCTTGTCACAGCTAGATAAGAACACAGATTCTAAGCTTTAACTCCAGCCCCAAGCTTTCAGGCAATGAATCTTGGTTAGCCCTTGCCAGGGAAGCCTCTAGTCCTCACTTAAATTATGAAAAGTCTTTCCCCAATACTTGTCGACTGCCATCTCTTGAAAAGACTAAGTGAGGGCCACTGGTTACCAGGAAACGGATGGTTTCAGACACTGGGATGCAATTCCATAGGGCAAGTTGGGCCAGAGTCTGGTCCTGAATCCTGGCCTCAATGGAACTAGTGATTTTTAGGGAAGATGCTCTTTTCTCCCTGGCCTGAATGCTTGGCTGCTTTAGAACGCAGCTTCCTGTTCTGTCATTTTTAGCTGGGCTGCTCTGCAATCTAGCCCGGAGAGACCGCCTCAGACAGTCTCTAGACCCTAATGTCTGAAAACATTAAGAGCACCTCTCTAAGCAACATACTGGTCAGGGAACCTGTTTCAGAGGTGAAACCTGAACCCAGGTCATGCTTGCTGTGAGGCCTAGTTTCCCTCCTCTCTAGCAATAGTGACAGGAGGAGCAGCCTTAGGCAGAGCCTCCTTTATCTCTGGCTGTCCTCCCTGCTCATCCTCCCTGCCCATCCTCCCTGCCCCCCCAGCTGCTTCCCATGAACTCATCTTGATTCTCCCAGCTCCCCACACACACATTTGTCCTTAATCCTCTGTGTTGGTACCAACTCTCTCTCCACAACAGAGTACCTTGGGGCCTCAGAAGGGGGTGAGGGAAACCTTGATATGATATGTGATCCTGGCATTTTCTCCAAAATAACTCCAGCTGCTGTTTTGGTTGGTTTTTTTTTTTCCCCAAGAGGCACTCTCTCCTCACTCAGGCTCTTGAGAAGCTGTGGTGGGGTGGGGGACTGGGGGAGTGGGGTTCTCCCCCTGTCACAGGGGACTGGGAGGAAGTCAGCTATGCCACCAGAGGGATTCTGGGGTCATCCTTCTTCCTGGCTTTGGCTTCATAGTTGGGGGGGGGAAGAGACAGGGGAAGCAGCCACAGTCCTCTGCCTCTTTCAGGCTTTGTGCCGCCTCCTCTTTGTAACCCACCAATTCACCAATTCAGCCCTTTATCTGCCTGAAAGAGCAAGGAGGAAGGAATGGGGGAGGGAGAGAAAGGGCAACAATGGGGGGAAGTGGCGGGAAACATCTCCTTAGAGACCCCATTGTGTGGCTCCCCCTCCGGGGCTGGTAAGTGGGGGGGGGGGAGTTTGAGGAGAGCCCTGAGCCCTTAGCCCAGCTGGGTGAAACAGCTCCCAGGCCCCTGCAAGGAAATTCAGCAACAAGTGGCACATTCTTCCCTGGAATGTGCTGGACTGCAGAAAGTAGGGCGAGAGCCCTTGCCTCACAGGCCAAGCTTGGGCCAAGGATGGGGTTCCCTCTTGCTCCCTGTCCCTTCCTCCTCAAACCACAAGACATCCTGACACTGTCCTCCAAATTTAGAATGCTCCCTTTTCCCCACCCACACCTTATTCCCTTATTTTCTCTTGCAAATCTGCTTTCTCCTCTCTAGCAAGTATCAAGACAGAACGCCCATGGGACTGAGAATTCATCTCACGTCCACCACCACTGAGGAGCTCCCAGCACATCACAGACATCCTCTCATTCATCCCCAGGAAGGTGGGCCGGAGCCAAAGATGACTATCCCCATTTTACAGACAGGGTGACTAGGGCACTAAAAGGGGGAAGTGACTTTTTACCAGTCATTCAAAGTCAAAGCTGAGACAAAATTCAACCAGCTCCAGGAGTTCTGAATTTCAGGCCAGTATACCATTCGTAATATGCTCTAAGTCTCAAGGAAACAGGCTTTTGGATCCAGCTCTTTCTAGGGAACATTCACTCCTTTCTGCTGATCTTCCCTCTTTCTCTGCCTCCCTCTGTGCTTGAGGCTCTCTCCAGGCATTCTTACTCAATTTGGATTAACCCAATCACCTAGGAGAACTCTGAAAACTTGAGTTTGTCTGCTTGGTCTGTCTCTCTGAGATATGGGTTCTAAGAGAAAAAAAGAGAGAGAGGGAAAGGGGGGGAGGGAAGGAAGGAGGGAGGGAGAGAGAAAAAGAAAGAGAGAAAGAGAGAGAAAGAGAGAGAGAGCATCTTCCTCTCCTTATCCCCTCAGTTGCCTTCCTGGATGGTGGCCAGTGTGAGCTCAGCCTCCAGGAATCTCTCCATCCTTCCAGCTTCAGTTCTCAGAGATGGAGAAGAGTGGCTGGGGGAAGATGTTCCTCCCGTGTGTGTCAGGAAGTGGGAGTTTTTAACCCATTTATCAGCTCCCATCGTGGGCGGCTATAAAATGCAGGAGTTGAGAGAACTGAGGTGACTTCAGTGCAAGATAAAGAAGGAAAATGTGTGTGTGTGTGTGTGTGTGTGTGTGTGTGTGTGTGTGTGTGAGAGAGAGAGAGAGAGAGAATGTGCAAGGAGCATGTGGGTGGGTGTGACAGCCTGTGTTTGAGAGAGTGCATGTGTCCTGGGATGGCCAGTATTACATATATATATATATATAAAAATATGTACTGTCGAATACCTAAAATACAGGGTGAATGTTAATAGAAACAACATGTACAAGGCTGTGAGTGAGGGCCACTATAGGCTTGGAAGGCAGGGGAAGATGAGATGTGTAGAAAGGGACACATAACAATAAATAAGGTACCAAGGGAAAGGGGATCGGACTCTCTTCAAGTCATTTCACATCCTAATCTATAACCCTCCCCAAAACGTTTCCTTTCATTGAATTCAGTTCCTTTCCCCAAAGGGGTTTGCCTAAGAAACCCCAGCAAATAGGCTCTGAAGGCTGGAGAACTCAGACAGAGAAGGGGCCTTTGGAAGAGGAGGAAAATAACCAGGTGTCTCGCCTTCTCCCCCCAGTGCTTTCACCAGCCAAGCCCCAACCCTCCAATGAAAGCAGGAAGAAACCACTAAGCCAGGTATACTTGGCAGAGAGTTTAGTTCCCCCAAAATACCACTGTCAGCACATACATTTGGTATCAGGATAACTGTAGTGCACCCAAGGCCTCTTCTCCACCTTTCTGCCTCCCATCCCTGCCCTTCCTAACCCAATCCATTAAGTCATTTCCAAGGTGAGATGCCCACCAAGCTAGGGTATCCCGGGCTCTAGCAGCAGTGTCTACCTGGAAAGGGGAAGTTAGGGTGATGGGCCAGTTCAGCTTCCCCCTCTAAGACCCCTCTGATCTGCAGGATAGGGGGCGCCTACCCACTGGAGGAATTCCATTGGTGGTGGTGGTGGTAGTGGGGGAGGTCTACACAAGGGGTTATCACTTATCTCTCCCAAGGAAAAGACTGACTTTTCCTACCCAAGGCTAACCCCACCCCCCCAAATTAATCGCCCAGAGTGTGCCCACTTGACATCTCCCAAGACTGGCATCATTCACTCTGCGCTTGGAACACCAGGATGTATGGGAATGTGCCGGTTGTTAGACCTTGCTGAATCCTAAAACAAAAGCTAGGATCAAAGCAATTCCTTTTTCTTACAGCACCTCTGGACAGATGGCTCAAGGTAGCAACGGTCTTGGGCACTGATAGCTTCTTAGAAGTGATCAGAGGATAAGTGGGGTCCTTTCTTACTTTCTCCCCAACCTCAGAGAGCCTTAATCCAGGGCCATCTCACAAGGGTTACGATGAGCAGCCTGGGCTGCCTCATACATGCGTCGAAAATCTTGGTATCGGGGAGCACAGCCCAGCCAGGCCTCCCCAAAGTGGCTCCAACCAGTGAAGAGGAAGATGCCAGGGCCAGGCCTGACGCCACAGCGCAAGGGGGTGCGGATGGTACCGGATACTCGGCTGGAGGACTCAGCTGGCTGGAATAGCGGGAACTTCTGACGATGGATTCGAGGAGTGCTGACGCTGATCACTGACTCCTGCAGCTCCTGGTCGTGAGTAACTCCACAGATCGTCCCTCGAACCACTGCCAGAGCAGAGGGGAAAATATGTGCTGTCTCTAGGCAATGCTGTACAGAGGGAAAGGAGCTGAGAGAGGCAGAGGGCTAGTGGTCAAGAGAAGGGTCATGGGCTGTGCAGGTGAAAGGACAGGGGAAGAAGGATCAGCAAGAGGAACAGCAGGATAGACTGCATGCAGAAGGGAAGACTCAATGAAGAGCTGGGGGCTAGAAGTTCCCTCTTCCAACCTGCAGCTTTCTTAAAAGCTGGTGACTTCGAATCCCTTCACCTGTCCCAGACTCCTGAGATAACTCCTCTCCAGCCCTGCCCCACCTGCGGCAATCCATTGATTTCTCAGTTCAGTAGGAAAATCCAATGTTCCCAACTGAATAGGCTTCTAAAGTGACGTTGGGAAAGTGTGGGCTTGTCACTCAACACATCAAGGGGCCTGAGGGATGCTTGATGCAGATAAATCTGCAGTAATATCCCCTGAGGACTCTGTGGATTCCAGTCAGAGAAGCTGATAATCAACCTGGCCTCAGACAGAAATCCAATCTGAACTGTACTCACTTCCTGCCAAGAGCAGACCCTCGCTGACATCCCAGCCTTCTTGCATAAATTCATCATCCAGCATGTCAATTGAAGCTGCTGCTTCTGTTCCATCCCCCACCCCTGTGTGCCCCCAACTCCCCCTAGATCATTTGACCTCTGACCCTAGTGCTTTCTCTCCTCAGCCAGCTCTGCTGAAGAGTGTCTGGATTTCGGTCAGAGGAACTAATAAACTCTCTGACTTGCCATGGCAACTAGGCCCACTCTCCTGGGCAACCCGAAAACCCTGATTAGACCTGGCCCTCCCCCGCATCTCCCATCCCAACCAGGAACCCCTGGCAGTCACCCTGCTTCTGCTCTCCCTGCTCCTCTTTCCAGGACCCCTGTATACAGTATGATATATAGCTAGAGCTCAGATGTGCTGCTTGTCGCCCTTCTATCTCTGGGATCCCCCAGGAGGTTGAGCACCCTTCTTATTCTGTTGATGGGCTCAGTTGATGTCTACTCCACATTCCTCCCCTTCCCCCTCCCCCAGGCCAAGCCACCCCAAACCCAGAACAGTGGACCTTAAGTCATTCCTCTATCTGTAGGATCCCCATGTCTGTACCGGTCCCAAGCCCACTCTCCCTCCTATATCACCTCAGAGGCACAGATCAAAGGTTGGACCTGTTTTTAGCAGCAGGGGCTATACTTACTGAGGGTTCCAGACAAATAGCTTCTCTCCCTCCCAGGAAACCTAAGACAAAAGGGAAGCAGAAAGAGGGCAAACACCAGCAGGATGGGGACAGTGGCCAAGGGAGATGCTAGGAGAATCCAATCAAAACCCAGAATAATCCTGGGAAGGGGAAAGGAGCCTGGAGGGAGGAGGAGCAGGGATAAGATGGAGGTGGGACTGGCAAAATACACTGAGTTGAACAAGTCTGAGGGGCCAGAACGCTACTTACCAAAATCGCTGGTACACACAGCCATGAGCACCTCAGCATCACTGCACGGGCGACAGGTCCCTGTGGCCCAGACAGAAGCATGAGCTGCACGGGCTCCTCACCCGCCTCTCTTCCCCCAAGCAGCCCTCCCCTCAGGAGAACAGGAAGGGCCATTTGAGCAAGAAAAGGCCTCAGGGAGGCTGCACTGTCCATAGCCCAGTGGGGGGGGGGGGGCAAAATTATTTTGGGCCCCTCCAGAGAATCCTCCAGCTCCACTGGAATTCCTTGATAAGGACTCCCACTTGTATAGTGCTTTAGCGGTAGACTGTTTATTATTCCCACTTTACAGGCAAGGAATATGGAGGGGGTCACACCATTAGCTAGGTAGTAAAGACCAGCTTTGAATCCAGGCCTTTTGACCAAGTCCAGTCAGTGTTCTTCCTGCTCTGCACCAGCTGCCTCTTGAGCCATGCATGTGTAAACTTCCAGCGGCTACCCTGAATTCAAGGAACGGAGCCCAAATACACACACACACACACACACACACACAAGTATACATACATGTACAGAGACATATGAATACATCATGTGCTCCATACTTGTAACTCAGGTGCCAAAATCAACTTCTACATTCCTTACAAGAGTTAGATTTCCTTCTTTAAGTCTAGGACTCTTGGCTTCTGGTCCCTAACTGTTATGATTCTATCCTTCATCCTCAAAAAGAAGCCATAAGGCTCTTTGGCCTAAATGACAAACACTGGCTGACAAAGGGCTCTGAAATCCTTAGTAGAGGCATTTTAGAAAATTAAGGCAATTTGGAAGAGCCAGGGCCCTTGGGATAAGACCAGAGGCCTCTGGAGAAAAGAGAATAGGATCCTTTCCCCTCTACCCCCATTCCCCTAAACCTCCCACCCCCTCAACAGATGGGTGGGGCTAATCCCATCATATCCAGCAATGGGGCTCTCAAAGGATGGGAATGAGCTGCCTTGCCCAGCGGGGGAGATGGCGGGGGAGTGCCCATATCACCATGGAGACCAGGCAGCCAGGCCACAGATAGTACACTGGACTTTTGTTGGCGGCATGCAGGGGTTGGCGGAGGGATGAGAGGAGGGAGGTCATGGGGCTACAGCCCCTTCTGGGCCCCCAGCCCCTGTAAGGGAGCACACTCTAACCCTGGTTCTCTTCTTCCCCTCCCCCTTTCAGGCAGAGGAGAGAAGGGGACTCAAGTTACTCCTCCTCCCCCAATGGGAGGCCTTGGGTCAAGGCAGGGCTTCCCACATGCTCCCCAAGGCCCAATCACTGAATCCTAAGGCTGAGAGGAAGTCTGAGAGGTCATCCAGCCTCAGAGCTGGACTGTATTCCAAACAGCCTAGGGAGGTCACTGCCTATACTTCCCTCAAACAAATCCAGGGTAGATGCCATGACCTCCCTTGGTAACCCTTGCAGTCAGTAAATTCATGTCTAACCTAAATCCCTTCTGCTACAGTTGAGGTCTGTTTCTTTTGCCTTGGTTCCTAGAACATTCGGAGGGCAGCTGCTGCTCACTACCACTCTTACAATATAACACTCCACACCCTTAAGAGCAACCAAGTCCTCCCGCCCCACAACACCTCTGCCCCAGGGCCAGCAATCCCAGCCACTCCAGCCCATGAAGGCAACTGTTTCTCTTCCAGGCTTCCTCCAATTTCTCCTGATCTCATTCCAGCCAAGGGTCTTGTCTGATGCCTGAGTCACACTGAGTATCAAAGACAGGTCACCCACTCTCAGGCAGAAGACCCGAGGGACAATGAATTCATGTGGAGTGAAGGGAAAGAAATATAGCTCAGCATTCAGGATAGAGTTTGAAACTAAAGCCAGGAGCCCCAGTCTGATCTCCTCAATCTTTAGTCAAATGATCTCAAAGTACTATTATTTTCCATTTAAGGGGTAAGGGAAACTGAGGCCCTAAGAGGATAAACATCTACTGGCTAGAGGATGCCCAACAAGTCAGCTACAACACAGGCTGGCAAGAAAACCCAGAAATTCCAACTCCTTGACACAAAAACATCTTGCTTTAGGGTGCAAGTTTCAGTTCTAATTTCAAAGGACTGTGGTAAGATAAGAGGAGGGAGATGGAATAGGTACATAAATGGTGCCAGCAGAAAGATGCCCAATCCCTAGTAGGCCAGAGTGGCCTTGATCTTCCTCACCTTCCATGCTAAGGTTGTGGGTGAAGAGGGGAAGATGCAGGTGCCAGTCCCCTCGAAGTTCATAGCGGAAGGCTGCTACCCGGCGACTGATGTCCCGATGTGGGGTAGACTGCACGAACAGTGCCACCCTCTCCTGCGGCTGCCAGCTGACACACCGGCCCCTGGGCGGCCCCTGGGCCTCGGCCAACAGCAACTCCAGGAGTCCATCTCTCTCCACGTAGACTTGGGCCCCCCGGAAGGGGCCAGAGGACTTGATGCAGGCTGTGATATGCCTGGGACTCTGGCCAGCTCCAGCACTGCCTGGGGGCAGCCTGGGGGAGAGGGTGAGGCGAAGGGCACCTGCTGGGTACAGCCACTCCAGGGAGCCCTCGGCACAATGCAGGGATAGCTGTTCCACGCTGTTCGTCTCCTGGGATAAGCCACTGCCAAGAACCCCCCACCAACAGGGTCAATATAGCACCCACAAAGCAGTACCAGCACCCACAGCACTTCCCATCTAACTCTCCATAAAATACTATCACATCTGTCCTCTAACATAAGTCTCATAATTGCCCACTGAGGTAGGAAGGGCAGGAGTTAGTATCCCCATTTTATGAAGGCAGAAACTGAGGCTCTGAGAGGTTTACCCTAGAGCCTCACCCAGAGCCCAGGTTTCCTGTCTGCAGCCCCAGTCCCTGCCACAGATCACAAATACAAGATGGAAAGTGATCTTGTATTTGACACAATTCTGTGTGAAAAATATCTGGGGAGAGGGGAGGGTTGTATACCATGAAAGTTCAGAATGAGTTGTCATTGTGATTTGGCAGCCAAAATACTGAATGTGGTTTTAGGCTGGCTTGAGAGAGGCTTGGCATCTAGGAGTAGGGAGTAGTAGGGAGAGGAAAGCACAACTGTACTCTGCCCTGGTTAGACCGCTATAGAGCAGTTTTCAGTTTTGGACACCACCTTTTAGAAAAAACATCGTTGGGGCAGCTAGGTGGTACAGTGGATAGAGCTCTGGCCTTGGAGTCAGAAGGACCCGAGTTCGAATGCGGTCTCAGACCGGACACTTGACACTAGCTGTGTGATGCTGGGCAAGTCACATAACTCTGATTGTCTCACCAAAAAGCCAAAGGAAAAGAAAAAAGAAAAAAATATCGTTAAGTTGGAGTTTGTCCAGAGGCAGATAACTAGGATGCCTTGAGATCAGGCCACCTAGGCATCGGCTGAAGGAACCAGGGATGTTTAATCTGAAGAAAAAAAGAGTGAGGGGAAAAATAGCTCTTCCAAGTAAGCACAGGCTGTCCAAAGGAGTTAGACAGTGCTTGACCTTCAAAAGGTAGAATTGGGAGCAATGGGAAGCTGCAAAGCAGCTTGGGTAAGGAACAGCTCATTTCCTAGCAATTAAAATTATCCAAAGTAGGTGGCTCAGCCTAAGAAGGTAGTGGGTTCCCCAGCAACAGAAGTCTTAAAGCAAAAGCTAGATGGTCTCTGTGTTCTCAATGGGGTTCTTAATGTTTCTGGGGTAACTAATAGACCCTTTCTTGAAACAATGTTTTTAAATGCATAAAAATATTCAGGATTACAAAGCAAAGCCATTATATTGAAATACAGTTACCAAAATATTAAAAAACAAGTTCACGGACCCCAGGTTCAAGAACCTTTAGTGCAGAGATTTGTTATTTCAGGTAATAGATTGGTCTAGTAGGCCTCTTGAGATTCCCCAAGAGCTGAAATGTTCTGAGTCTATGTGAAACTTGCTCCCATCTATGCAGTAGAGGGGGAAGGGTGTAGGATTTGGTGAAAATCCTGACCATAGCACAGCAAGCCACAGGAATCTTAACCATCAGAAAAAACCACTAGCTCTCCCCCTCCCTTTCTCAGACCAATGCCAGGTCATGTGGCAGTGACCTAACAAGTCTCTGCTACTTTCTCCTCTACCCTCAAAATCATTGAATCTCCTATTTAAAGGAACCTCATTCAGAGGCCATCTAGCCCAACCTTTATCTGAACAAGAATCTCCTTTACACCACACTGAATCCATGGTTAACCAGCATTTGCCAGAAGACCGGTAGCAGGGGCAATACACTAGATCCCAAGGCAGCCCATTTTATTTTTGGATAGCCCTCACTGTTAGGATAAGTGTAGGTTACCCTGCAGGCCACTGGGCAAACAAAATCATAGATTCACAAGATCATGGAATATTAGAATTGGAAGGAACCTTACGGATGGGGAAACTAAGGCTCTGAGGCTAAACTTCCTGATTTTAAGGATGAGGAAAATGAGGTTCAAAGAAGGGAAAAAATAATAGCTAACAATAATGACCAGCATTTATATAGCACATTAAGATTTGTAAAGTGCTAGGGGGCAACTAAGTGGCAGCTAAGTGGCGTAGTGGATAGAGCACAGGCCCTGAAATCAGGAGGACCCGAGTTCAAATCCAGCCTCAGACCAAACACTTCAGATTACTAGCTGTGTGACCCTGGGCAAGTCACTTAACCCCCAATTGCCTTTAAAAAAAAGATTTGTAAAGTGCTTTAAAATATTATCTCATTTGATTCTCACAATAATCCTGGAAGATTGGTACTAGTTTTACCCCCATTTTACAGATGAGGAAACTGTAAATGGCCCAGAGTCACACAGCTAGTAGGTGCCTGAGGTCATATTTAAACTCAGGTCTCCTTGTCTCCAAGGCCCAGCACTCCATCCCCACAAGTCAAGTTAATGGTACAGAACCAGGAAGCTAGGTCTCAAGGCTGCTGCCTCAGGTCCATTGCTCTTTCTTTTGCACCATGTTTTATAGTCACAGATTCTGAGAGGTGGAATGGATCTCAGAGGTCATCTAGTGCAATTCCTACATAAAAATCACTATTCTCTATCCAAAAGCCCTAACCCATATTTGTCCCACTTCTACTTGAAGACCCCCAAAGAATACTCACACTACCTCAAGGCAGCCCAATCCACTTCTGAACAGCTCTGTGAGGAAGTGTCCTTATTTAGGGCTGGAAGGGATATAATCCAACTTCCTAACACCAGGGAAAGGCTAGCTTTTCACTCCAAGCTTAGACCAGTTGCTATGCACATTGATATACTGGGTGATGCAGACAGATGTACCAGGTGACTGGAAAGCCTGTAAATGTATATTGGGGGAGAGGGAGGGGAGTGGGGAGAGACTGGCAGGCAGGCAGACATAGCAGGAAGCTAGAAGATGTAGGGCAGACAGAGCAGGCGGGAACCTTCAAGCCAATGGAAGGTTGTCTTATGAGGGACAGAGAACAGCTGTTTTCCCAGGGAACAGTTTAAGTAACAGCAGGAAGGATTTCAGTAAGATTACATGAAGAAATGTAAAGAAATGTAAAATGTAAATGTAAAGGGAAAGAGTGGTACCTCAGTCCCAAGGCCAATTTTTGTCTTTTTTTGAGGAAGAGTTAAGGGGAGAAAAAATGTCCTGGCTTGAGGCAGAGGAATGGACTAGATGACCTTTGAATGTCTCTTCCACCCTAGGATGCTCTTAGGGCAGAGACTACACTGAGGCCCCTTGCCCCCCTCCACCCCCACCCTTCCCTGTCTCTTCAGTTACTCAGCCTCAGAGCTGATTCAGGCCTCACAAGTTGTTTGATCAGTGATTTGTGGATCCTGAAATGTTAATCCTCCCAGGGGCCCTACAGACAGCATCCCTGCCCAAGATCTTCACATAACTGCATCGTGCTGGACTGAGGGAGGGGGAAGGAGTAGGTGGGGATCTTCATTAGTTTGCAATCTAGGCCCAGGACAGAAACTAGGTGTATATCTTTCCATCCTGGGTACAATGACTGCTTGGCCTTATGAGGAAGCAGGGAAGCTTGGGTGATCATTTATCCTATCCCCTACCCCCAGCTTCCCCAACTTGAAATCAAGGAGCTGAGCTCAAAACTCTAGTCTAAAGGTACTTTCCTTCCAGAGAGTTGGAAACTGAAGCCAAAAAAGACAGAAACTGACTTGTCCAAGATCACTCACTGGAATTAGGGGCAGGATTACAGGTTTCCTGACTGCCCAAGAATGCATCAGTTTGCAAGGGATTCTAGTCTTATTTTCTCCTATCCCCCAGTTCAGGGATCAAACTGGTACTCTGGAGTTATCTGGCACTGAGTAAGGGAGCCATTGGCCAAGATTAGGTCTTCTTGCTCCCTCATGTTTAGTCCCTTTTACCTCATTCTCCAGTGACTACAGTCACCTCTATCCCACGTTCTCTCAGGAAAGAGAAGTGAACCCATTCACTAGTGACAGCTCTTCAGATGCACAGGTCCCCCCTCCCAACTTCGAGTTCACCACATATTTTTCCAACCCTTCTCCCTAGAAATACTCTGAGACTCTATCCTACAGGAAAAGCTAATTCCCTCCTCACCAACACTAATTCTCAAATAAATGAGGACAGTCAACCATAGCACCAAACAGGATGGCAGCTTCACAAAGAGGGTTCTGTCCGCTCCATCTCTGGGTTCTGTCTTATACCTTCCTAGATGGTGGTGCCCTGACTAAGTTTTTCCTCAGTGCTCCCCTCCCCATCTTGCTCAGACATTTAAAACCCATTTCAAATACTCTCAACCTACCATCACGACTTCTAAATCCCTTGCCTCACTCCCAAGCTCCTAGGAACCAGAGGACTGTCTGGGTTAGCTTTCAGCTCCTGAGAATCAGGGGAGGGAAAGACCCTTGTGGAGGGACGGGGAAGCAAGTGCAGGGGAGTTAATTTCTTCAGAATGCCAGGAGAAGGAGGACAGGTTTCCCTACTGCGAGAAGGATGTGTGTGCATATGTATGTAGTGGGGAGATGAAACAGAGGGGGGGCCCACCTCAGAGGACCCGCCAAAAAATCCTAGGAGAACAAAACCAAGCTGACTTTGTGACTTCTCCCTCCTCCCGCCTGCCTGCCAACCCCGCCCTCTCCTTGGAGATGCCTCAGCGCTCAATCCACGAAAACCCCTGCTCCCCACCACCCCATTATCCATTGCCGCTGTTTCCAGGTACCAGGGATGGGATACAAAAGGAGATCACCCCCTGAGCTAGGGGAGACATCCTAAAGGTGGGAAAGTCCTTCCCTTTCCCCGTGTCGGGAGAAGGGGGGCGCCCCCCACCCCTTCCCTCCACCCTATCTTTAGAACAACCACATTACTATATATTTCTCCTCCTTCCCTCTTCTATAGCTCAGGGAAAAGGGGCAAATTAGTAAAGATTCTAACACTTCCTATAAACAAGAAGGAGGGACGGAGATAGACTGAGAGGCGAGAAGAGGAGGATGGGGGAGGGGGATTCCGAGCTGGGGAGGGATGAAGGCAGAAGTCAGGCGTGAGAGGGGCGGGGGCGTCCATACCTCCCTCTCCAGCTGCACTGATCCTCCGAGTAACTGGCCAGGGCCGCGGAGGCCAGGAGGCCGCAGCCCAGTAGCCAGAGCAGTGGTGGAAGCGGCATGGCCAGGCGGCTGGAGCCGAGCCCTGGGGCCCCGGGGCGCTCAGGAGCCGCAGCCCCGCCGCCGCAGCAGCAACAGCTGGAGCCGCATCCCCAGACCCTCGCACCTGGCGAGCCTCAGCCTTCGCTAACCTCAGCCCCCATCTCCTTCCGCGGAAGCGCTTCAGAGCCCGGGGGAGGCTAGAGGCGCGGCGGCGCTGCCCCCCAGCCCCATACCCCCAAGCCTCGCTGACCGCCGCGCCGCCGGCCACTTTCAACCTGGGCCGGGGGATGCCAGCGGCTAGGGGAGGGGATGGGCAGGGAGGCGGGGACCGACAGAACTCTCCAATCGAGACCCAGTCCCGAAACTTTCCTCCAATCAGGCTGTGGAGGAGCGGGGAGGTGGAGGAGGCTGGAGTGGGAGCGTTCCTTCCCCTGCCCCCGCCCCCGCCGGGCCGGTCAGAGCCGAGCCGAGCTGAAGCAAGCGGAACGGAGAACAATATCGGGCTATCGGGAGGGCGAGAAGAGGGAAGCGTGCGGCCCTGGGGACTCCGGGGCTTCAAGCCAGATGTGGGGGCCCGGAAAAGGCGGCCCCAACTTCGGCCACTACGACCAGTCGTCGCTGGCCCATCACCTCCTCCCCACCCCTCCTGCACCACCCGCCCCCACCCCAGGTCCCGCTTCGCTGTGTGGAGCTTTTCTCCAACCTAGAAATAAGCACAGTAAATTGTTGAATTAAACTATTCATAATTATCATTAGCAAAAGTCACCTCATTAAGCAACCCATTGCTCTCCCCCCCACCCTACCCTCGACCTCTATCTAGTCTGTACTTTTTCTTCCTCCCACTATCACTGCTCTTTAACCCCCACCTCCTTCACACTCCGTGCTCTCGAAAGGGAAGCCATTCAGTCCTAACGTCTTACGATGCTTGGGTTTATGGGTGTCTGTTATCTGTACCCCTCCCCACCTCTCCCGAGAGCCTGGAAAGATGGGGGTTGGGGGGAGGAGAGTTGATGACTAGGGAAGAAAGGAGGTTACTACCGAAAGGAGGTGCACACACCCCCACCCCCACCCAGCGGAGATGCTAGAATAAGGGACCACCTGGCCTAGGTGTGTAAGAGGGCCAAACTAGGAACAGTTGGGAGGGTGGTACCCCCCAGGAGGCAATGGAAGACTGGACACACCTTCTCAATCCCCACTCCCCCCCCACCTGTCCTGCTGTTGCAGATCGTGGGAACCTGCTTCTTTCCTAGAATCTGCCTTGCCTTGCCCTGGGGAGAAATTACAACCACCTTTGCCGTAGTATCTTGCTCAAGACGCCCACTACTAGTGGAATCAGAAGTAAAGGGGCAGATAAAGCAATAGGACTGGAATACTCACTTAACACAAGAATCTGCTACGTTCATCATAGAACTGACCAACAGAGAAGTAATTGGAATTCTCTCTTCTGCTGCAGGTCTGAAGGGCTTGACTGAAATGAGGAATTGAGCTGAGTAAAGCTTGTGCAAACCTTTCTGGTGCTGGGCCACATCCCACCCCTACCAACTTAATAACTGGAAGTGCTATATGCCGTCTAGTTTGGGGCTGACTCTTGATCAAATAAAGTACTGGGTAGGGGGTGTTAGTCAATGAAGAGGGCTTAGAACTGTACTGTTTAGCCTGGTTCAGGCTCTTAATAAGTGCCATATCTTTCTCCCTATAACTATCTGCCTATATACCCATCTGTTTATCTATTGGAATAAGACAAGGGGAACTCTTTCTTGGTCTTATCTGACAGAATAGATTTTGTTCTGAGTGATCAACTGATAACTCAATTGAGCAGCTGACAATCTAACTTCGAAAAACCACTAGACAAAAACCTCCAGATCTCATAGTCAAATCCAACAATCCTACTCTTTTTTTTTTTCAGGCAATTGGGGTTAAGTGACTTGCCCAGGGTCACGCAGCTAGTATCAAATGTTTGGTCTGAGGCTGCATTTTAACTCAGGTTCTCCTGACTTCAGGGCGGGTGCTCCATCCACTGCACCACCTAGCTGCCCCTCAACAATCCTACTCTTATTCCATCTGCGTCACACAGATCTTCTGGTTCCAAACAGTCCTGATGTTTCAGCCAATGGATATCTATCTACTCTACTCCCATTTCATCTTTATTCAGCTAGATCAGCAGAAGTTTGGAATGGTGGATACTGCGATTGTGTGGTCACTTTTTCCCCTTTACTGCTTAAGTTTCCCCTCTGAGAGCAAGCATTAGACACCCTACTCTGCCAAAGACACCGTGGCCAGACAAGAAATGTTGTACAAACTTTGAGGTCTTATAAGGAAAGGAGCTCGTGTCATGAAAAATGACTTTTGAGAAATAATTTACATGAACACTGCGGTAAATGTAAAGGATATCAATGCTGAAACTTCAAGATGCTGATCAATGCAAGAAAAAAACAACCCATCACTTCAGAGGACTGAAGATGAAGCATGGCTCTGTTCTCAACTGAGAGGTCATAAACTATAAGTGCAACATAAGATATACATTTTTGGATTTTGCTTTTATTTCAAAGAAAGATTCTTTCGGTATGTAGTTGGGGGTAGGGAACTGATTGGGAAGTGACCATCAAGAACATCCACAAAAAAAGAATGGGCAATAGAAGTGAGGAGGAGAGAGGGAAAACTCCCTACCCATAGGGTATTCTCCCTAACTCACCCTCCCAGCTGAATCTACCTTTTTTCCTGGAGAAAACTGGAACAATGGGAGATGTACAGAGGGAGGCATTTGAAGTCAGGGAGATCCTAAATCCAAAGGCCTTGTCATGCTGTAAGGAGAACTACAGGGGAAGCAGGTGGAAAGGGTCATAAAGCTTGCTCCCTGAGCCCTGAAGCTGCCTAGAAGAAGTAGGGCCCTCCAAATCTCCCTATATTTGTGGAAGGTCCCACCATCCTGCTAGTCACTCAACTTAGAGTCATCCTTGATTCTCCCTTCTCTCTCCTTCCCCATATGCAATCACTCCCCAGATCCCATCTTTCGGTCTGCCTCCATACCATCTTGTTGTATACACTTCCCCTCTCCAATCACACCTTTCCCCCTAGTTCAGGTCATCTTCACCTCTCACTGGGGCTATTGCAGCAACCTCCTTCAATATTTGATGTCAATAGGTATTTAAGTGCCTGCCATGTACCAGACCAGGGATGGGGAACCTGTGACCTCGAGGCCACATGAGGCCTTCTAGATCCTTGGGTGGGGCCTTTTGACTGAGTCCAAGTTTTACAGAACAAATGCTTTTATTAAGGGGATTTGTTCTGTGAAGTCTGGATTCAGTCAAAGGGCTGAACTTGAGGACCTAGAGGGCCACATGTGGCCTCGAGGTCACAGGTTCCCCACTCCTGTACCAGACACCGTGCTGAGTGCTGGGGATATAAAGAAAGGCAAAATACAGTCCCTGCCCTCAGGGAGCCTACATTCTAATAGAAGAGACAATGTGTAAGTGTCTAGGTACATAGAAGACATATATGCAGTACATCCAGATAATCTGAAAGGGGAAGAAGGCCTTAGCAGCTAGAGGACCAGTAGAAAACCTCTGCCAGAAGGTTGGATTTGAGGTGAGATTTGAAGGAAGCCAGGGAAATTGAGAAGCTGAGGCAAGAGGACCCTTGGTCTTGGTGCTTTCAGTCCTTTCCTTTTCCAATCCATTCTCCAAACAAGGTCCAATTTTGGGGGGAGAGAGAGGATCAGGTCCTGTGATTTCGTCATCAGTGTAGGAAACTCCTAGCAGAAATTGCCTTTACTGATGTAGACCTGAAACTGGGCAATAGGAGGTTAAGTGATTGATCATGACATGGTCATACAGCTAGTATTTGTCAAAGGGAAGGCATAAACCTTGAACTTTCTGAATCCAAGCTTTTCTTTCTCTCCAATATGTCAAGCTGCCAATTCAATTCAACTAAATAAGCATTTACTGTAAATCAAAACAACTCTGAGGTACCATATCACACCTATCAGATTAGCTAACGTGACAACACAGGAAAATGGTAAATGTTGGAGAAGATGTGGGAAAATTGGAACACCAATGCATTGTTGGTAGAGTTGTGAACTAATCCAACCATTTGGTAGAGCAATTTGGAACTATGCCCGAAGGGCTATAAAACTGTGTATACTCTGACCCAGCAATACCACTTCTAGGTCTATATGCCAAAGAAATCATAAAAATGGAAAAATGACCCACATATGGTTGATGGTTGTTGTCCTTCATCATGAACATTTGGGGCAGATTCTCTAAATTTGCACATCTTTCATTTCTTTTGAGTTATTTCAACTCTGCTTTGCTCATAGAGGATGAGCACCTTCTCTGATGTGGGCATGCCATACTGAGCAGTCCTGTGCCAGTGTCTCCCATGTCACACAATCAATTCCAAAGTTCTTAAGAGAGACCTTGAGAATGTCCTTGTATTGCTTCTTCTGATCACCATGTGAATGTTTTGCATTTGAACGAGTGACCAGCCCATCAGAGTTGTGCTCTCTGAAGCAGTTTGAATGCTTGGCAGTTTAGTTTGAGAAAGGACCTCAGTGTCTGGTATCTTCTCCTGCCAAGTGATCTTCAGAATCTTCCTAAGACAATTCAAATGGAAGCGATTCAGTTTCCTACCATGGTACTGGTATACTGTTCAGGTTTCACAGGCATACAGCAATGAGGTCAGCAAAACAGCTCTGTAAGACCTTCATTTTGGTTGTCAAATACCTCTTCTCTCCCATACTTTCATAGCTCTGCAATTCATGCATCACCTCATTATTAATGTGTACATCCCTGGAAAGTACACTACCAATGCAAGTGAACTTATCCACAGCATTCAAAACTTCTCCATTTGCTGTAACTGATAGTTCCACGTATATAGATGGTGTGGTGGTGGCTAATGGAGCATGAGTGTTTTCTTGGTGTTAATTGTTAGGCCAAAATTAGCACAAGCAGCAGAGAATAGATCCATACTTTGTTGCATCTCAGCTTCAGAGGCTGCATTGAATGAACAGTCATCTGCAAACAGAAAATCATGCACCAACACTCCTTCCACTTTGGTCTTGGCTTGTAGCTTTTCAAGTTGAAGAATTTACCATCAGTGCAGTAGCTGACCTTGACGCTGTGTTTATCCTCATCGAAAGCATTTGACAATATGGCTGAAAACATCAAGCTAAAAAGCATGGGAGCAAGCACACAGCTTTGTTTCACTCCACTGGTGACTGGGAAAGCACAAGAGCATCGTCCATT